TATATAGAAAATATATACTTTTAATAGTGTCCCCGTCCCTCCCCCCCCCCCCCCCCTCGGAGAAAAAAAAGTCTGGAAGAAACACTGTAACTGACGTATTCGTATTACAATGGGATGAGTTAAGCCAAGAAATAAGAGTTAATTACCTAGGGCCATCAAAACCGGATTTTCCCGATATTTCGTAAATTATATTTTTGTTTTCTTTTGTTTTTCTTAGAAGCGTGGGGTTTTCAAACAACGGAAAAGATAAATTGCCTTCAAAGATGTATATTAGGCGTTTTTTTTTTTTCTCCTGCAAATCTTTTTGTCATCGTCATTATTTCCTCATTTATCTACCTCTGTGTCGACGATGTACGCAGATTTTGACGTCACAAATATTGCGCTCTTTAGCTTAAGAGTACATTTGATGTGCAAATAGACATTTGTTTCATTTTTCCTTTGAACATAGAGAAAATAAAAATAGTGTATGTAGTGGGAATATGAATCAACAATAGTGACTAGCTAAAATACGTACTTTTCTTTAAAACTTAAAGCCTAAACAAATAATCATTTATTTTTTTTGCTGGACATAGTTGTAAGCTACTTTATATATAAATATATACTTTTTAAATAGAATATTATTATATTTTTTTTGGTTGTAACTGATCTAAAAAAAAAAAAAAAAAAAAAAAAAAAAAAAAAACGAGCGCAACTATTGATAACCATGGCACGCAATTCAAACAATAAGTGACGATGCAGAAGACAATGCAGACGGCAATAAATCACGCAGGAACTGACGTTGTATTAAATGCATCCATCGCTATTGAAAGTCCATTACATAATGGGATAAACATAATCCAGTGCAGCAATACATAGCTGTATGTTTCATTTATTGGGGAGGGGGGGGAGGGTTGGAGAGGGAGGCTGGATATTAAAACCGGATATGACGGAATCAATGGCCTAGGCCGTGAGATGAATGTAGATGGATTTTCGTTACAAGCCGGACCCGGCTTTTTTGCCGGCTGTTTGTACATGGCGGGGCTAATCGTGCGGCAAGTTTGCACGGAAGCGGCCGGAGCATGTGAATGGAGAGGGGCGTGTCGCTCGCTCTCGGACACAAATATTTCTATTTGCGATCCGCCTAGGGAAAATGAGAACACTACACTCGATAAAAGCGGGTCGTCCATTAAGGACGTGACGGTATACGAGCAGAGTTTTCTTTCATCATGATATTCATATCACACCAGTTGTAGTCACACCAGGGGCGGAACTACAGTGCCGCCAGACCCAGCAATGCGGGGGGGGGGGGGGGCACGCCTTTTAGGGGCCCATAGCCGACCAGAATAAATTGTTTATATATATATATATATATATATATATATATATATATATATATATATATATATATATATATATATATATATATATATATATATATATATATTGGGGGCCCAGAATTGTTTTTTTGCGGGGTGGCCATTTTTTCTAGTTCCGCCACTGAGTCACATGTCATCACAAAATGACACCCCCTCCCCACCTTCCCACACTCATTACACTAAAATTACGTCACAAGATTTCAAAACTTCATGTAACAATTTTTTGTGTTTATGTAAAGGAATCAAATTGTAATTCTATTTATAAAAAAAAAAGGTTTGTTTGTTTTAATAACTACTGAAGTAGGCTAGTTTACTCAAGATGTATTATTCGATATTATTAAATTGACTATTTTTTTTTTATAAACACTATATAAAAGCATCAATCAATTTTAAGGTGTTCTTACAAGTTTTGAATTTTAATGTCGAAAAAATGCGATTGTGTTGAGGGGTGATCAGAATAAATGGCTAGACTGTGAGCTGATATATATGATGATAACTACATGTTTATATTTAGCTTAACATAAGTGTATATGTTGGCCAATAGCCCATTGACCTGATATTAACTTTGATGTTTTGTTCACGGAGAAAACATTTGATATTGATTAATTACAGTCTGATATTATTAAAGGTTATTGACACTGCATGCCTACCTGGTTTAACAAAAGCAATTATAAAACAGGCTATCCCCCCCCCCCCCCAAGATTATGGCAGGGGTTGATAGCAAGTGTATGCGTGAGGGTATGGTGATTGCATAACGTGGAGAATTCGAACTCCGAATAAATCACAACATTTGCCAGACGCACATTCAGCGTAAAGCGAACATTTCCTCGTTTCAGTGCGCTAGTGTCACGCTTTACGCCGTCATTGTAAAGCGACAATGTTGGCGTAATGTTCATTTTCTGCTCCTGTATAAAACTAACATGCCATTTTTTTAAAAAACCAGCGATTATGTAAGCCATATTGTTCGGTCTGCTCTTGTCGAATTGTCGTAAATATCGCGAATAAAACGCGGCAGTAGTTTGAGGAGCGGGGGTGGTGATGGTTGGGTTCTTTAGCGACTCTGTCATCCGTGGCTAAGTGAGTGGAACGGGAGAAATGTATGGCGTATTGCTCGGAATCGCGCGGTGCGCAATTGGCGAAAAAATCTTTTGATAGCTGGCTCTACCCTCTACCCTACTCCTAACCACCCCCCCCCCCTTCCCCAACACTTTTTCTATGCGTGCCATTTTTTTTTTGTTGTAAAAATGCAACCATACGAAGTTGTCAAAAAAAATTATTCATGGTTCGTTGCGAAGTAAAAAAGAAACGAACATTAAAAATAGTTGAAATGAAAATCGCAGTTGAGAATTTGTAAGATAAAGACGTTAATGTCTGTTGGAATTATTTTTAACTAGTATTCCAATCATTGGTACGCTTTGTAATCATGTTCGTAGTGTATTGAAATTTTTGAAACGGACAAATTCAACAAATGAGATATTTTACGTCATAGTTTCTCCTACACCGACATTAGGATAGTTTGTGAGACAACACTCCAGCCGGAGAAAAAAAAATTGACGTTAAAAATAAAATTGTACGCGGATTTCGAGACGGTTTCGTGCGGATGAACGGGTTCGTACACACAGTCCATAATAAAAAAATAATCGATGTTGCAAAACTCGACGCGATTAACGGTATCGCATGATGTGTATACGAGTGAAAAGGCACTTAAATGATGTATCGATGTTTAAATAGTACGATTATGTCCGACTCTCGAGTCCGACTTCCGGCTGTCTCGCCGCGACATGTATGGATTGGAGTTTGATAGCCCCCGGTGTTGAAGACTGGGCCATTTCGGTTACATAGAGCCGGGGTGAATGCCGGAGAAATATCCGCGCCCGTGGTGGGACGGGGACGAGTTGCTAGTAAAAAGAAGAATGGCGGGTTGTTGAGAGTGACAAACAACGTCTTGTCTGACGTCCGCTGACACTTTTGTGTCAGTTTCAATTTCATTCAAAGTCATTTACATTTCTCTACACATGTTAGGAGTAAAGGGGGGAAGGGAGGTTTCCTCGTGGTTGTGGTTGTGTTTACAACTAAGGTGGGCTGCTCTCACTAAAGTGGGCTGCTGTTACTAAAATGGGCTTGATATCACAGAAGGCTATACCGTTCCATGTGTGTGTTAGTATGTCCTGAATCTAGGTTGTTACATATTAAGATTCTTTCCAATTCAAATCAAGTTTAAGTTCATGCTACTAGTGTTTTTTTTTTAAACATTTCGAAGAAGAAAAGTGTAATATTTTGTATTTTTAAATTTAGTGTCCAGTTTAATGTAATTCTAAAACTATCAACATTTCTCTTTTTTTTTTCCTTTTTTTTTTTAAATCGTATTGTTAAAAGAAAAAAGTTAAACTAACAAAACCCACATTTTTCTCAAGTTAGTTACTTGTTTCAGCTGTGCCTTTAAAATATTAAGGTAAATTTATACAGTGTGATCTGCTTTGGTTAAATTCAGTTTTTAAACACTATCCTAATTTTAAAAATAAAAACTCCGTTTTTTAGTTTTGTAGACAAATACATCGGCTGTTATAATCTGTAAGAAATTAATTTGTTTCCAACATACGTATTTCAGTTGAATTCGTTCAAATATTTGAAGTTGGCGAAATGGTGTCATTGTGGGGCCTAGAGGAATAAGCATGCCAGCATAAACCTATTTACAGCTAATTTGTATTAATTGAACAGCCGGGCTAGTTATTTGAAGGTTTATTTTTTAATCTATTTTGTTTATTCCCTGACAGTATTGATCTGAAATACCCTCCGGCAAAAAAAAAAAAAAAAAAAAAAAAAAAAAAAAAAAAAAAAAAATCGTGTAAAATAAACCTAAGTAGCCTACGCCAACACAGTACTCATAATACAGGGGAAAAAATGGCGCCCTCATCCAAAATAAAATAATTGAACCATTTTTTTTACACGGAAACCACGACAACAATCAAACCCTTACACAGTTACATCGATAATGAGATAAAAAAAAAACAAAGTCTGACGATAATTTTAACTACGAGAGAACAGTCCCTTAAACAAAGAAAGACAAAAATGATGTCAAACGCGGACGTACGGGAAGGCTATTATCGAGGTGAGCGCATACACATCACCACAGACGGCATTTAGCATGAGTGTTATACGGGCGTATTATTTGCTTCCTACCCCCTGTGGTCACACTTCATACGTTAGTTTTTTTTTTAAAGTGTAGTTTTTTTTTGTTTGTGAATTGTTGTAGTTTTTATTGAAGTAACTAAGGAAGTTAAAACTTAGTTATGTTGTTAATTGTAATAATATTTAAGAAAGTTTTTTTTTATCCTAATGCCTGATGCTGGAGGCGTCCTAATGTTTTTCCTGTGACTTTTTTTTTTTGTTGCTATTGTTCTTGGCAGGCAGATACATTAAACCACAAAAACCCCATTTAATTTATCGTTATGAAATTTAATTTTATACAATGTAAACCTAGATAATAGATACATCAAAAACGATGGCGGTAAGATATTTATTTTAAAGTATTGAGTCTTTATACCTGATGGGTCATTGTTTGGCATAAGGGTTATAAATTAGAGTTAGACACCTTGTTTAATTGTGCAGTTAAAAAAAAATCAATACATTCGAAAAATGACTTACCAGGTGAAACTAGGGGCGAGGAAGGTTTCGATGACGTAATATCAAGCTCCTGTGTCGGTGACATGACGTCACGGCGCCTGCTATCAACGCAGTCGTCGTCGTCGTCGTTATTATCGACGTCGTCGCTGCCGTCCTCACTACGGTTCCTGGGCGACCAGGTCATCTTGTTCTCCTTCTTCAACCGTCGTCTGGCATTGGCGAACCACGTGGACACCTGCGGCACCAGAGAACAGGTCAGTCGGGTGTGGAGGGGTGGTTAGCACTATGGGCATATATAATATGCTTGGGTTCGAAACCCATAGAACGTATATTTTAGATAATCTAAATTTCTTTCAAAATAAAGGAATCTTTTTGAAGATTTAAATTTTGAAAAAAAAATATGATTAATTCGGAGTTTTAGCATTAAAGTTATGAATAGAATGATAAGTACGACAAGCACTGAGATTAGGATTAGATTCTGGTTAACTGTTGTAACGAACGGGGGAAGTAGAGTTGACATGTCGTTCAAGCCGTTTTTATGTTGTATGTAAGTAACAGAATACACCACGTATAAAATATGCTCATATTTGTGTCATGCATGTAAAATAATGCCGTAGGTCGTAGATGTACATAAAGCCTAGTCGGGCGATTAAATAAATAATAAAGTTAATCTGAACCAATAATCTCAGATACAATACCGGAATAAAGATACCATAATTTTACAAAGACAGTCAACATATTTTACCTGTGTCAAGGTCATCTTGGTGATGATGGCCAACATGATTTTCTCCCCCTTGGTGGGGTACGGGTTTTTCCGATGCTCATACAGCCAGGCTTTGAGAGTATTTGTGTTTTCCCGTGTTGCGTTTTTGCTACAATATGAGAAAAAGGTTTACATTGAAAACATATCACGAACAAACAAAAAGTGAATAGATGAAGTTATAATACATATATTGTGTCTAAATTAAGGTCAAACAAAAAAATTATGCAAACATGAAAATTCGAATTTCAACTGTTAATTTTTTTAAGTTACTGTTTCAAATGTTATGTTTTTGTTATTTAAAAAAAATCCGAATACTTGTAAACTAAAACTGGGTTTAGTATTTTATCAATGCAGTTTTGTTTTATTAAAATACAGCGTTCAACATTTGAGTTTTTGGATCTTTGACAGACATTGTTTAATGTTTTTTTTCAAATTTCCCAAATAAAAACAAAATATCGCGGGGCATGTAGAGTTTACCATCATCTATGAAGCTGTGTTTATGATATTTCAACAAGGACTGAAGGGGTTAATCAGAAGTGCATGGATTAATTCAAGGGGGTGAATTCTGACGACGGTCAATTCAAGGGCGGTAAGCCACCCGGTTAAACAAACGCACGGAGAGGTTACCAGGAACGATATCATTAAACGCGAGTGACTTTCAATTTTGTCTGGGTTTTTTTTTCTTCTTTTCTTCAATGCCATTTCGCATGGTTAGATTCCACCGGTCTTTTGTGTGCGTGTCAACGTGTGGGTTTGTGTGGGTGTGTTTGGGTTACCACACCCCGACGCCCTGACTACTCGAATGCAACCCCCCCCCCCCCCCCCCCGTCAACAGCCGATGTTTTTTTTTTCAAATTTTGATTTTGTTTGCACCAGTTGGTGGGACGTGTTAAGTTTTTAACGTTTCAACTACCTCTTTCATCTGGAAGACGATAGAGGTGTGTGTGTTGGGAAGGGGGGGGGGCATTGGGGTAGCGGGTTGCACCGTGCCTCTTTAGACCAGTCAGTGAAAGTTGAAGTGTGTGTGTGTGGGGGGTGGGGGATAGGGGGTAACAGCTTAGGTACGTTTTACCATCTGGGAGCTGTCGCCTTAGCCTATAACCTGCTCTTTAATAGTGAAATACGTGGAAGTAGAGGAGGGAGGGAGTGTGGGGTGGGGGTGCTTCGTTCGGATTTATTGAAAAAAATCTTTCAAGTTTTCGTTCAGATGTTGAAGACCGTCAAAGGAGTTCTAATAAAAGAATAACAGTAGCCGCCGTCTCTGTATTAAACGGACGTAAAAGAAAACGTTAGCTTAGAAAATCTTGACTTTACTCGAGTTGACTATCGAAATTTGGGTACATCAAATCAACTAGCTTTTAACAATAGATCCTTTGAAGTGATTAAATTAGAAGCAGTACTTAGTTTCAACTAGATTTAAAGCAATAAACATTTATCGAAAAAATAAATAAATTTTGAATTGATTGTAAATTATACTTAGACTTAGTTATTTTTTTAGAAGCCTCATTTTTTTCCCGAGATGTCTAGTGCAGCTAAAATCCTATTTTCCGTTAAATACAATTTATAATCATGAGTGATTACGGTTAAGCTGGTTATATTAAATATTTAAACAACTTCTATACAATGCCGGCTTCTACTCTCTCTCTCTCTCTCTCTCTCTCTCTCTCTCTCTCTCACACACACACACACACACACACACACTCAGGCACGTTTTTGTGTGGAGGACGTGCACGTACTCACCCTGGTCCATACGGGTACATGGCCATCGGGTCGTACGGGAACCCGGGCTGGGACGCCGCAAGCTGCCTCCATGCCTCGGCGCTTTCTTTCAGGTCGTAAGGCGAGGTGCCCTGTAGGGAGAGAGACGTTTTTGTTTCACTTTTTATTCTATCACGTCCCACATGCATATATATATATATATATATATATATATATATATATATATATATATATATATATATATATATATATATATATATATATATATATATATATATATATATATTCTATCACGTCCCACATGCACATATATATATATATATATATATATATATATATATATATATATATATATATATATATATATATATATATACATCAGCGTGTATATGCATTCATTTATTATATACATGCATATATTCAAAACATACACACTTTAACATAAATCAAGAGATTATATTTTTAATGTTTGAATGTTTCTGTTTTTGTCTACGTAAAAACCAAACGATACCAAACGATATACTGTGTGGCATACAAAACTGTAGGAGTCGTACATCAAACAGACAGTTACTATGTATATATCGCTAGTTAAAACATACGCACACGTTAACAGCGAATAGGTTTCTAAAATTATTTGTTGAGGTCAAGAATGATTAGTATTATTACTACACCAAGTTTTGGACTACTAAATCTATGATACATCCACATACAAACCACACACATAAACAGCATTCACATACACATACATAAACACTAATCTACATATCATATGTACATAAAAACCATTCACGCAAACACACATCAATATAAATAGACACACACATATACATAAACGAGCATTAACCATACACAAACACAATTCCGCACACAACATACTCATAAACATGTATCCACATACACGGAAATTAACATAAACTCACACACACTCACAAACAAACAAACACACATCAACTTACAAGAGGTGTGTAGAAAGCCGACCCCTCCGCCCCCAGTGCCACATAACCTTGCGACACCGCCGCGGCGTAGGCGGACGCGCTGTACACACTCTCCAACCCCGGGGGGATCCCAGCCCGGGGGTAGCTGACCAGGCCCGGGGGGTACTGGCAAGAGCAGACGGTCTGGCCCGTGTGGGGGTCTGTGAGTATGGGCCTTCCGTTCTCGCAACAGGCACGGTGACCTCCTGTAGGTGTAGAGCTAGATATCTGAGGGTAAGAAAAGGCAAATAATAGAAGTATTAATGTTTGTACCATACTTCTACATCAGTTTAAATCTAAGGGTAAGAAAAGGCAAATAATAGAAGCATTAATGTTTGAACCATACGTCTACATCAGTTTAAATCTAAGGGTAAGAAAAGGCAAATAATAGAAGCATTAATGTTTGGACCATACGTCTACATCAGTTTAAATCTTAGGGTAAGAAAAGGCAAATAATAGAAGTATTAATGTTTGGACCATACGTCTACATCAGTTTAAATCTTAGGGTAAGAAAAGGCAAATAATAGAAGTATTAATGTTTGGACCATACGTCTACATCAGTTTAAATCTTAGGGTAAGAAAAGGCAAATAATAGAAGTATTAATGTTTGGACCAAACGTCTACATCAGCTTAAATCTTAGGGTAAGAAAAGGCAAATAATAGAAGCATTAATGTTTGGACCATATGTCAACATCAGTTTACATCTGAGGGTAAGGAAAGGCAAATAATAGAAACATTAATGTTTGGACCATACGTCTACATCAGTTTAAATCTGAGGGTAATAGTAACAAAAGGCAAATAGAAGCTTTGATGTTTGGACCATACGTCAACATCAGTTTAAATCTGAGCGTAAGAAAAGGCAAATAATAGAAGCATTAATGTTTGGACCATACGTCTACATCAGTTCAACACGCTGGAATAAAAGAACAAGTTTTATGGCTACAAAGGTAAAAATAAACAACATAATTGTTTTTAAACGTGTTCGTCGCGTTTAATTTGATTTAAAATAACCCTAATGAAACAATTATCGTCAATCTTTTCTGCAATTAAACGAGGCCGACAGTCGGCAGGGATTTAAAGAAGACATCCGTAGATTTTAAGTCAGTTTTTACTCTACCGAAGATTTGTATAAATCCACAGCTTTTATTATCACTAGCATTTCTGTCTCCTCTAAAGCAGTTGAATTTTAGGCCAAAGTGTAATTGGGACGTACTTTCTCTGGACTTTAATCATGCGTGCAATGTTAGGACAAGTGGTCATTTTTTTGTCATGAATGGAGATCTACATTAACTTATTTCATCACAATTTATTATCGTTTGTAATTAGCATTATGAGATAATTGGCACTCTAAAGTTATTAAAACATATCTTTTTAAAATGTAATTATGCTTTAATTGTAGGTACTCGGTTCTTTCTATTTAAGGGCCTAATTTTTTTAAAACTGTTGTTTGCTGTTGCTGGATAATAAACGAATTTCTTTACCCCTAAAACGTAAATATTGAGCTTAGATTGTAATTTAGGCTTAAATAAAACACTAAAACAATAAGTTACGTATGATCAGTACGTGTGTTTAAGTCATGTAATTCCTATATGTTAAAGTCAGTGTTTCTTTCAGGCATTTCTCCGGGGGTTCACACCTCCCCCAAACCCCCAATGGACGTATCAAATGTCCCCCACAGGAGGAGAGAAATGTCTGATAGAGACCCACATTACAGAGACCAGATAATGTGAGTTATATTTACGTGCATGGGATCGTGTGTGTTATATTCATATCCACAATGTAAAGTGGTTTTTTTTTTTATTTGTAAGTTAAACATAACAATGGCTTTTGTATCACATAATGTATGCATAGTGTAACTTTTGCTCTGATTGTGATGTTGGGTTTTAGTTTTAAGATTCCAGAGGCCTAACAGGTGTATTAGGAAACTTTACGTTATATTAGGAGATAAACTCATCGGCCGGTTAGCTCAGTTGGTTAGAGCGTCGTGCTAATAACGCGAATGTCGTGGGTTCGATCCCCATACTGGCCAATTTATTTTGATGCTTAAAGTTTTTAGTATAATTTTAGTTTAGTGTAAAATAGAATATGTATTTGTCATAAAGTTAGAAACTATGCAATACCCGATCGATTGTATCATGTGGTTACAAAGTAACAATGGAAGTCATTTTATCATCGTAACAATAGTGGTCATTTTGTTACTGTGTAACCGATGTTGTCATATTCTTTTCTTTTAACGAATGTAGTCATTGTGTTAATGTGTTAATATTTTTTGTCATTTTATTTAACAAATGTAGCAATCTGGCAATTGTAAACAAACAAAGAGATCTAATTACAAAGAGGAAATATAGGTTAGTCGTGACAATGTCTTATCTACAGATATTTTTTTAAGAACAGACCGACTTAAGATGTAATACATTTTTTTTCTGATTGTATAAAACAAAAATTCCGGTTGATATTTTAAAATTATATTCAAATAATTAGGCCAATGACTTTGTAGGTTTATATTTTTTTGTCCGCTTGGCCTTCGGTAATCCTTTTCGTGCTTTATTCTGACGATAAGAAACGATTCAATGGAGCTAGGTACTGTAAAGATTCTACAAGTTCCGTGCCGTTTAATTTTGTTGAAATATAGTTTACAATGTGTTACCATACAACCGGCAACCGTCGCTTGTGATGTGGTAAAATGTGTAGAACGGGATGAATTGTCCAGCATTACAGATTACACTACACACAGGGTTTGACCCGTCCAGGTTGTAGCTAATCAGAGATAGGGAAATCAGTAATGGCTAACTACGCTGTACAATTCTATGTGTTATAGGTCATCGCAACCAGTAGGCCGGTTAGCTCAGTTGGTTAGAGCGTCGTGCTAATAACGCGAATGTCGTGGGTTCGATCCCCATACTGGCCAATATACATTTTTGTATTCTAATTTTTTACTTTAATTTGTTGAGTCCACTAAATAAACACATGTATAAAGAGAAAAATAAATAAAATAAAATATTAGCGCCTAAATTTATACAATTAAAAAATTGATTAAAAAAACTCGAAAAAATTTTGTGTTTGATAAATCCTAGAAAAGTAACAAATATGTATCAAATTACCGCACAATATATGAAACATGTGAAGGCACACCAATAAAGTTTTAATTAAGAGAGTGTTTAGATGTGGAAATTATATTGTTACGCTACATCTCAATTACACACAAGTCCCAAAACCCGCTCCGTCTGAGGTAGGCATATAAAATTAAAACGCCCTAACATAATTATATATTAGCTAATTTGTGTTGATCACTATACTTTATATATTATTAAGTTTTGTACTAAAAATTAATCTAGAGTGATGAATTATCGAGGTTTTTTTTTTAAATGGTGATAATAGTGTAGCGTGTGGTGAGTTTGTTGATTTTAGTTTCTTAAATACAGTACATTTTTCTTTTCAGTGAAATGTGTTTTATACTATCCAGTTGTTTTATTTCAATGTCTTTATTAACAACGGGGCTGTAACCCTAGCCCTAATTAGCTAACCTTTCATTAGGGTTTTATTTTAATTTGTTTCTGGGTATTTTTTTACAGGGATAAGGGTTAGTGTTTTGTTTTGTGTGTGTGTAGTTTAAATATCGGCAAGAACATTATTTAAAAAATTTTTTTTAACAAAAATAATGAAAAGAATAAAAATGTAACACGCTTCATTTGAATGCCAATTACAATATGTTATATTAAAGTGAGATGTAAACCTAACCAGAAAGTATTGTTATAACGTATGTTGTATCGACATTATTATTAGGATTATTAGTAACGATTTCAAGTAACTCAGTGATTCTGGTACATGGTCTTGACCAACACCAGCGAGGTCAACTTATTCTACCCACTCGATGTTTAAACGACCAGCTTAATTGGATGACGTTAACATGGCGCAGTGTCCAAACAGTACCCTAAAGCTGACCCACGGGCCGCTGAATGCGTGATACATATTTAGATTACACGTCACATTTGCTTGAGTTTATGATACCCAGTCTGGGTACGATTTTTATATCATTTAGGTAACTTTTTCCTTGAATTGTTTGGTATTGTTTAGTTTAAAAAACAGTACATTGAAATAAAGTTGAATGATTTAGAAGGGGTAATTTTATATGATCGAGTTACAGCAGTCTTGAATTGTCATAAGATGACTTTTATGTTATAGCTAAATTATTAAATATAACAGTATTTGTGATTATAAATTTTACTTAAACTAGCAAATTACGCCGCTGGTCGTATTTATTTGTTTACAGTTTAGTGGAGACAGGTTACAAGCGAAAGGTCCGTAAAAACTAAATGTCCGCGAAAACGGAACTTTCGCTAGAACTAGATGTCCGCGAAAACAATACGTCCGCGGAATCTAAGTATCTGTGAAAACGAAACGTCCACTAAAACTAAATGTCCGTATATATGAAATGTCCCTGTAAACGAAACATCCGTGAAAACTAAACATCCCATTTGTATGCTTGGATCAACTGTAGTGAACAAATAAAATTTCTCCAGTATTAGGTGAGGTTCATGGATAAAAATCATGAACGCAAGAAACTTAAACTGTTCCGTTAAAAAGAAAACCTACATTTTGCTACATTTAGAGAAATAACACCTAAATGGTTAACAGCTTAACACGTTATTATTTAACTATGACCGGGTAAAAACAACACTAATTAAATAATAAAAAACATATTTACATTATTTTGTCGTTGATGTCAATCTGAATGGGTGGGGTTATTTTCACAAAACAGAACTTGTAATACGTACTAGGGTATGCGCGTTAAAGTTGTACAAATGTATAACAAGTTACGGCTGACTTTAAGGGGCAATCCAGTCTTTACGTTGTCTGTGTGCAGTTGTAGTCTTACATTTATCTCATTATTATCTCTCGGAAACATGTTTCTGTATCCCGATAACGTGGTTTGTAAAAGTAAAAATGTTGTGTTGCGAACAGCTAATTTGTAAAAATTATAATTAAACCCCCGGTGTTGTTGATGAAAGAAATAACGCAGTAAACTAACCGGCACTAATTAGGATTAATTGGTCCTTAAATCATTTTCAAACACGTCAGCCAATTACTGATTTATTTTTTTTTACATTCGATTATTCGGCACTCTGAAATTTTAAATGTTATGACACCGAAAGGTGTACCGGTTGTCACGTTGTCAGCCAACATGCTACCGATACTGCTATGAATTGTATCATTTGTGTCTGTTGATCGGTTTAACCAGTCGTCATATGGGAACTACACCCTACGCCCGTAACATAAAAAAACAACAACAAAACTAACACTGGAGCTGATGTACTGATAGAGACGACTAGACGCTAAGATGACCACGCCTTTTATTATCATACCATAGCAACATAAAGGATTAACATAAATTTTTTTAAAAAAAACGAACTTTGCATTATGTACCATAGTGACATCAAGTAGCTGACTTAATTTATCATAAAAAACAATGCAAACTTAAATCTAATCCTTGATGTAAAAATAACGCAAACAATAAAATGTGGGTGGTTCATATTTTTTAAAGAGCAAAGTTGTTGGGATTATTTTTTCATGTATCAAATTAAAATGTTAGTCTACTATTGAATACATTAATACAAGTTGTATAACATTTCTGTGGTAGTTATGCCAACAGATGGTCTAGAATAGTTCGACATTAAATTAAGTAAAACACTAGGTGGCGGTCTGCGCCATGACAACACACCTGGGGTGATAGATAACCCTAATTAAGATTCTGCTTAATGAGTCTGTGTCTTACCTGCGACTGGCTGGTGGGGGGCGGGCTCCGGGGCAGGTTGGGGGCCGGGGGGAAGGCCGGGAACTGGGCGAGCGACATGGCGACACCTGGCGAGCAGTCACCCTCGGGCACGTGGGTCACGGTCCGATAGAGACAGGTAGATATCCGTGAGGGTCACACACTTTTCAAGGTCATCCGGATGGTGCTGTGCTCATGAAGTTGATGAATCAGAAAGACCGTTTGTTTCTTCCAGAGTGTAACTTTATTTATTTTTAAAGTCCTCTTTTTTTTTTAAATTTCTTTATAACGTTTTTAGGTAATGAATTACACAGTATAAAAGATATAAGATGACAGACTTTAATGATTTGTCTGCTCAGACTTTCCCATACTTTTAAGATTCACAAGTCCTCATACTTCAAACTTAGATACACTTCTGAACTTTAGAATCATAAAATATAATTTTAAAAAGTTAACATATTAGTCTATTTATTTATTAAAAGATTTAAAATAAAATTTAAAGTTTCAATTCAAAATGAATCTTAAATTATTATATTTTTTAAAGATACACCATAGCGAATAAATTTGAGAAATAGCAAGAAAAACGAAATAAATTAAAATTAGATAAAAATGCATAACAAAATTGTCTTCTTAAGCGCAATTTAAACATACATCTGACGGCTGAAATTTTTACACCGAAATATACGGAGAAAGCTAGGATATAATCACATAATTAATTATAAGTAACGTTACTTTAAACTTTATCAATCGCATTTTGAAAACAAACACTTCACCCTACTGAAAAACTTTAAATACTATAAATAAAAACAATAATAACCTTGGTTAGCCGTATTAAAACATAAACCACATATAACATGAAATAGAATCTTGTCTCGGCCAAGACGTATAGTCCAAAAGACTTGCGAGAAAAAAAATATTTCTGTATGAGTGCGAGTAGACAGCCACGAGCGTATAGACAGGCTCCCTGTGAACGTGTAACTCCTGTTAGCGAGTCGCTCGAGTATTTTTTGCACCCCTAGGCAGTATCTCTCGCGGTAATATCAGGCGAGTGGGTTGTACGCGCAAAATGGGGGCCAACTGGGGCTGGGACTACTAGCTCCCCCTCCCACAGTGGCGGGGCGATATTTGTATGGCTGATGGGTTTAGATACGAGGGGGGAGGGGGGAGGGTATCAACGGAGGATGGGGCTTAGAAGTAGCACCGCCGGTAGGAGCGTTTTGATTGGTTGTTGGGTGGGGTGTTGTGGTATTGATCGACCAGCGCGAGATGTTTTGACAGACGTGTCACGCGGGTTGTGAGACGCTGAAGCTCCGCCCACTTTTAATCCAGGTTGTGGTATCGTCCAATAAGATTCTTGATGGGATAGTTTGAACCGCGTCAAAATAACGAGGGGTGGGTGGGGATATGGATTTTATTTGAAATAAAGCTGCGTCAATTCGTATTTCCCCACCCCCACCCCTAAACTTGTGTGTGGGGGTGTTTTTTTTTTCCACGGCTCCCCCAACCGGAGAGGTTTGTTTGTAGCGAGGTATCGTCCTGTGTTGACTTGTGTTGAAACAGAACCAAACACGGGGCTAGAATTAGGGTACCTTTACCTCGCGAGAACTGGGGACGGGGAGGGGTGGGTGGGAGGCAAATGAGGAGAGAGACCGAAAGAAAGAGAGAGAGAGAGAGAGAGAGGGTTTGTCGATCCCCTAAAAAATATCCCATAGTGCTTTGCGCGAGGCGTTTGTTATTTCGTATGGACGCGACGACGCGTGCGTGGTAAGCGAGGATGGGAAGTGAGTGGGGGGGGGGGGGGGGATAGGAATTGAAGAGAGGGTGGGGGATTTCGGAGCGAGGGTTTAAAACCCCGCGTTGTGCGGCTTCAACTGAGTATGTTTTGAGTTCGTCCCAACAAAATTGTGTTGTTGTTTTTTGTAAACACGGCTCACCTGAACACTAGAGCGGACTACTTTACTTGTATCAATACGCGTTATTTTTCTGCCTAATGGAGACGTCACATAAGGCGTAGAAATATTGCAGCATGCTAGGTTTTTTTTTCTATTTTATTTATTTAGTTGTGGCGTCAAAGAACCCCTCCCCTACCTCAATGCAGCCCCCCACCCCACTCAGAGGCGTAGCCACCCATTCCGGTGCCCTGGGCGAACTATCAAATTTGCGCCCAGTCTCCATTTATAAACAGTTAATCACGTTGTGTAAAAAGCCCCCGTACCCTCAACATTTTATATTTTAGTGTCACACAATAGCTGCAGAAAAAAATTAAATAAGTCTGTCAAGCCATGAGCAATCAATCGTTTTTAAAACTTTGACTGTACATGCTTTACCGTCATAATTAGCTTTATGTTAAACCCTGTTTGCCCCCCCCCCCCCCCACCCCGTATGGCGGCGCCCGGGGTTGCCACCCCACCCCTCCTCTCCTAGCTACGCCTCTGCCCCCAGTCCCTCTTATTACGGCCGACTGTAGCTAATGATAGACACTAAGCCTCACAAAACATGTCTATTATTTCTTTGTTTCCCATAAGCAGACGAGGGATTCTAGCTATGGCGTTTGTTAAGTGACGCCGCCCGCTCGCTAGGGGGTTCCAGAAAAAAGGGGTCGAGTAGGGGTAAGGTCCACATACACACGCTGAGAAACATACGGCCGACAAAAGGGTACTCACCCTCATGGGTAACAATTAACGACCCCGGTCCCTTATTTGATGCAACAGTAAGACGCTGTTAAATGGCGAATTAACAGGGTAAAAAGTGAGGCTGTTTTCAATGACACAGTGGTGATGACGTTTGATCTGATTTAATAGCCCCACATGGCGTTCTAAGGTCGTGCTTTGGTCCGTGTTATGGTCAATGGGGCGAAATGGTATTACTATAGTATCATATCAAAGTTTGCTTGTAGTTACTTGATCACCACCCCTACATTATCAGTGTTTCTTCCAATCTTCCAAACTTTTTTCTCCGGGGGGGGGGGGGGGGGGGCACTTGATATTTTCGGGGGGGGGGGGACGGTCTACATTTTCCGGGGGGTTGGACACTAGTAAAAATATATATTTACTATATAAATTCCATCTCGTTCGGGGGTGGGAGGGGGGGGGGGGGCGGTAGACTTTCTTTAGGGGGGGGGGGGGGGGGCGGAAGAGATGCCTGGAAGAAACTCTGTACATTATCCCCACCCCTACAGCAAGTCGACCCGGTAAGCAATCGAAAAATTAAATAATTCATATAGAAAATCTATACTTTAACCATCACCCATATATCCTCTCTTACCACCACTAAAAGTTTCAAGTAATCTCCCCACCTCGAGAATAATGACTGAAAGAAACCCTGCTAGACTACCAGTTCAAGAGCTGAGGGTTAGACCCGGGGTGAGGTTAGTAAAAAAATGTCAGGATTGGACTTTAGTTTTTGAAGTAAAGGTTTGGTAGAGTCCTAAATAGTACAGCATCTACTTCTAACTTCTAGACCAGGGGTTCCCAACCCCGTGCCCGCGGGCGCCATGGCGCCCGCCGAACGATTCGTATGTGCCCGCCTCTCACTATTCGACAGAGACAGAATTTTTTTCATAAACATTATTGAATGGTTGAAGGGGATGGAAATCGAAAGTTTGAGGGGGGGGGGGGGAGGGTGCAAATCGAAAATTTGAGGGGGGGGGGAGGTGCAAATCGAAAGTTCCCCTGGTGACGGGAAGGGTCGCTACGCCTCTGGAAGGAGTTTATCGATTTAAAATAGGTGGTGCCCGCCACCTTACCGATATTTTAGAATGTGCTCTAGAGTAAAAAAAGGTTGGGAACCCCTGTTCTAGACCAAGTGAAATTAAACTAGAATGTGTTGGGGATCGGGGCAAAATATTATATTTGTGGGGGAGGGGGAAGTGGGTGGTTCACCATTGTGGGGTATTATGTAGGAACAGTGTTGTACAGAGAAATGTTGTGTAACTTTTGACTTAAAGACATAAAAATAACAACAACAAAAACCAACAAAAAAAAAAGAAAAAAAAAAGCACACTTTGTTTAATACTGGTTGGTGAAAATGTTAACAGCATTGGCTTTCTATCATTCATGCTTTTTTCTCCTTTCAAAACACAGGGTTTTACAGTTGCGCCATGAAAAACAAATGTAAATAGAGATTTTCTTTACAGCTTAGAATGGAACTCCTAATACTGGGATTATAACTTTTAATATTGTGATTGTAAATTTAGAAAGGAATTCTAAAAATGGGATTATAAATTTAGAAAGGAATTACTAATACTCCTAAGACTATAAATTTTTCTTTTTAATAAACTTATTTCAGTGTTTGTAATGAGCGTACTATAATAAAAACAATATTATTATAGATCCAATTATTATAAGCCTTATCTATTGACTTAATTGGTACCAATTGTAACTTCTTGTAATCAGATGGCCGGTTAGCTCAGTTGGTTAGAGCGTCGTGCTAATAACGCGAATGTCGTGGGTTCGATCCCCATACTGGCCAAATATTTTTACGGACTATTTTTTAAAATTAACCAATTTTGAGATGTTACATATAAGATTTTAACATCAGCTGTATTACCTCAATGAGTTATCTTCATTTTTAAAGGTTCTAATGTGCGATTAAAACAATTTTAAGTTTATTATGTTTTCAGGCACGTTTTTTTTTCCCAAAAAGGTAAATATTTAGATATAGGGAAAAAACATTATAGTAATATAATTGATTTCAACTTGTAATATGCAGTGGCATCACTAGATCAGATATCTTCCTTTGCCTAATGTAGTGTCACTCCCATCTCACCTATGTTGTCATCAGTGTTTCTTCCAGACTTTTTACTCCGGGGGGGCACTTGAAATCTTCGGGGGGGGGGGGGCGGTAAACTTTCTTCGGGGGGGGGGGGGGGGGGGCGGACACTGTTAAAAGTATATATTTTCTATATAAATTATATAAATTTCATTTCGTTCGGGGGGGGGGGGGCGGTAAAATTTTTTCGGGGGGGCTTTGTCCCCCCCCGAAGAGATGCCTGGAAGAAACTCTGGTTGTCATCGTGTGCCTAATGGTGCATACAACTGTAAATAAAGCCTACTGAAGTAACTGGAAAAAAAACACACTTCTTAGAAAAATTCGATTTATTTCGTATTGGTGTTACCCCCATGGATGGTGTCATCCGGTGCGGTCCGTATTCCCCCACCCCCAGCCTGGTGACGCTATTGGGCCCACAGACCGTAAGGTTTAAAAATGTCCTTTACTTTCACCCCAAAATATTTCTCCGGGAGGGGGGGGGGGGGG